TTCTGTTTACGTACGTCATACGTAGGTCAAATGCGTTGTCAACATTCATTCATTCATTCAATTAATTATTTATTAATTAGTACGTTTCTAAATTTAGATTTCGATCTATTTTTAACCTTGTTTTTATACATTATGTTGCTATTTTTAAACGACGATAATTATTTATCTTGATTAGTGATTCCAAAAGTTAATCTATATATAGATTTGTTTAAATTTTACAGTACTTGATTCAGCGAATTTATTTTACGTTCTTATAAAACTGCTATATGTAAACATGTAAAGGCATCAATGCAACAAGGTGCACGAATATGTACATGTATACACACATGCACACGCACACACACACATATACACACAGAAGCAAACAAACACACACACTCTCAAACATAAACACACACACGTACATAAACAAGTATGCACTGCCTACACACGCACACACACACACACAAACACACACACACATAAACAAACGCAAAGTACACGCGCACACAGTCACACAAACAAACAAACACACCCATACCCACACGAGACACACACACACAAGCAAACAAACACACAACAACACAAACTCAGAGTCTGTTGAGTAAAAAGTTCGACAACACAAGCGCCATGTACAACTTGCTGTACGACAAATACAACAGAACCAGCAGTGGTGGAAGCGTTCTCAGACCAAACAAACAAGATCGCAGATCCAGTATCAATGCTGATAGAGGTGAGTGTCGCTACTACTACTGCTACCACTGCTACTACTACTACTACTACTACTACTACTACTACTACCACTACTACTACTACTACTACAAATACTGCCACTATTGCTATTTTTACTATTGTGCACTTCTGAAATCACTGACAATCTAATCACATTATTTGATATATCATTTTAGGCGTTTTCTATCATTATTCATTTTATTTTTTAATTAAATAATTAACTAATCAATCAATCAATTAACTAATTAGTTAATTAATCCCTTAACTATTGCAGTGGAGAAAGACGCAGACCAACGCGATGCCAAATTAACGGTAATTAATTGATTGATAATAACAAATTCCTTTATAATATCACGCGCTAATACGCACGATGTGTGCTTGCCTGTTGCTTTGGATTATGTGTTATATTTTCGCAAATTCACATGCATTTCTTCAGTTTGACGTCATCATACGTAGTCCATCCTTAAAAACACTTAAGAAGTTTTATTTCGAAACAATTTCATTTCAAACCATCAACAATTTAACAAAAAAAAAAAACAAGTTTTAAACACTCCTCTCTTTCTCTCTCTCTCTCTCTCTCTCTCTCTCTCTCTCTCTCTCTCTCTCTTTCTTTCTATCTATCTCTTTCTTTTTCTCTCTAAACAGACAGATATCTTATATCATACGCAGAAAATATATGCATCAATATTTACACATTTTGAGCTGACGTTTGTGTGTGCGTTGTTGGCAGTTGTGACCGTCATTTTTACCACTTGAACAACAATTTTTTACTACTTTTATGATACCAGTATTGCAAGAATACTATATCAAAGTTCAAATCCCACAATACATTTGAAATTTAGAAAAGCAGTCCCCTGGATGATATGACCAGATACTTAGCCATGCGAAGACACACAGTCGATACCAGTTTGGGCAATGACCAGGCTGGTATTGACGATAAAGCTAAAACTAAGCTCGGCGTGAAAGAGCTGAAACAGAGCGGCCATCTAGCTCTGGCTAGCTCTAGCCATAATCACAATCATCATCAACACCATCATCATCAAGTTCGCCATGGTAATGGCCACAGTAGTAATAATGCAATTGTCGGTACTGATAGTAGTGGTAACAGTATTGGTGTTAGTAGTAGTGTTATGAGTGGTAGTAGTAGTAGCAGCGGCGCCAATGGCGTTACTGGTAATTATAAAAAGAAGAATAGCTTGAGTCCGAACGTTCTAAATGACACGCAGAAGAAATTGCAGGGTTTGTTTGTATGTGTGTGTGTGTGTGTGTGTGTGTGTGTGTGTGTGTGTGTGTGTGTGTGTGTGTGTGTGTGAGTACGTACGTACATATGTCTGCATGTGTGTGTCTGCATGTGTGTATGTACGTTTACATGCCAGTAGGGACTTTTGGTTTATATATATTCGTGTTTGTTTGCGTTTGTCTGGGTATATGACTTTTTATTTGTTCGTGTTTTTCATCATAACGAATTGCTTATGGTTTGGATAGCATTCAATACATTAATTTAATTAATTTTGCCATCGTGAAAATATGTGCTGATCACAATCGAAGCGAATTTCTTTTATTGTTAACACAAAAATTATTTTACACGCCGATTATTAATAATTACTTCTGAGCTTATTTTTTTGTTTCGACACAAATTTTTACACATACACAAACAAACACACGCATACAAACACACATGTACGTACAGGCACGCACACACGAACACATAAACACACACACGCACACAAAGGATAACCACATAAATAAATTTCATAATGTGAAACATTTCTTTCCATTAATGCAGAAGCCTCTTTGCAGGACAAAACGAATAATTCGGTATGATTAATTTCGTACATTTTTAAAAATTTTAATTCAACAAAATGAATGAATGAGTTAATAGTAATAATATCATTATCATAATTTATTATATATATAGTTTGACATAATTAAATAGTTCATTAATTTCATAAATTGGAATAATAATAATAAACATAAAAATAATAAATATATATTTTATATTTTCACCCCCAAAGAATCAAAAACCTTCCAAAGAAGCTACGGACAGTCATTTGAAGTAAAAAATCTTCAAATAATAATAATAATAATAATAATAATAGAACTAATAGCTGGGGTTGTAGTAGGAGTAATACATTTCGTAGTCTAGGCTTTATCTTCGACTCTAGCATGTCTCTCTCTTCTCAGATTAATAGTGTTGCTAGAAGCTCTTACTTTCATCTACGTAGAATAAAAATACTTTTGCCTTTTCTTGATGATCCTACTCTTCTCCTTCTTGTTACTTCGTTAGTCTTATCTAGGATTGATTATTGTAACTCGCTCTACTATGGTCTTCCTGACTCTATACTCTATCCTTTAAGTAAAGCTTTTAACTCTGCTGCTCGTCTTGGTGCTCGTGCCCCTTTCTTTTCTCATTTATCTCCATATCTTGTTCTCTTGCCCTGGATACCTATAATGTATAGAATAATTTATAAAATTTACACATTAATGTATAAGTCTCCATCCAAATTGTTTTCTAAATACGTAACAAATATAATAATTGAACCTAAACGCCCCGGTTTACGATCGTCTTCTTGTTCTCACTTCTTAACACTTTTTTGCCAAATCTGCATTTGCTTTTTTCGGCCCTTTTCTCTAGAACTCTCTACCTTTTTCTCTGACTACTTCTCTCCACCACTTACGAAGTCTAGAGCGGATCTCAAGACCCATCTGTTTGCAAAATTAGTTGAGGAGCGCTGTTAAACATCACGGAAATAGCGCATTATAAACTAAATGATTTATTGATTGGTAGCAGCAGCAGCAGCAGTAATATCAATAATATTAATAATGATGAACACTCTTTTTATTAGCCGAAAAAATCAAAATCAAAACACAAAAATAAAATCGAAATAATATCAATGAGGATAATAATAATAATAATTTTTCCAAAAGATTACCGCCAACGGCCTTCGGAAACAGTTCGCGAGATTCTTTGAAGACGGACCACAAAACGTCACATCTGCTCAGCCCGCTAGCAAGTAAGAATAATTTTAATATTATTATTATCTATGATTTATTACATTTATTATTATTACTATTGTTACGTCATCACCACGCCTGCATCATCGTCATCGTCATTCACAAATAGACATACTCGGGTTGTCATCACCGAGGCGTGCCAGTGAGATGATAATGCCTAGTGGCAAGCAGCAGTCGAAGTTGGAGAAACTTTATAACAGAGCTATCTCGGGCGAAGTATGGGCTTATATTATCATTATTTATTATATTAATTATTTAATATTATTATTCATTATATATTTTTATTAATATATTGTTATTGTTGTTGCATTATTATTAATCCGCATTATTTTTTCATTATTATTACTCAACAAAATTTGATTTTTTTATTAACCTAACTACTCAACTTTTAAAAACCTTAGCCGCAAGGTGGCTCAAGTAGCGGCGCTCTACGCTCCATGCCCCAAGAAAACCGGAAATTGGTTAGGCAGGGTGGAGTGCAAAACTTCGAAAAACTGAGCGATTTCAACAGGCCAACTGGTCTTGTTAAGCCAGCGGTAAACATTGAATTTTTCTAGCGCCTAACTTTATTGAACTCCACAAGCATATGTGGTAGCATAAATTTCGTTAGGTGTTTTTCACATGTTTTTGAGTTGTTTTCTCGTTTTTATAACTGCAGTTGTTATTATTATTATTCTTATAGTTCTAATTCTTCTGAAAATCTGATATCATTATATATTTTTACTTCTTGTTTTGTTTTGTTGAGAGATTTATTTTTAGTTTTGGTATGAAAATTTTGTTGGTTTTCAAAAATTTCATGGCCGTTTCAAAATTTTTTTCAAGCCTTTGTTTTTTCTCATTTTATTTCACCAATAGAAGATCAGCTTAATTTTCAATACATAATTAATTCGTTAGTTTATATGTTCCTGCACGCTTCATCTTTATTTGCAAATCTAGTTCATATTGACAATATTTCAACTATTTAAACAATTTAATCAAGCTTATTGAACTTCTGTTTCAACTTTAATTTTTTTCATATTAGCACCATTAACGCACCATTCTATATTTTCACTGATCAATACCCTCATTTAAAGCACCTTTTACACTTTTCGTTAATTTTTTTTCAAAAATTAGATAACCGATTTAGCAATAAACGCATTGATATCATCCATCCCTAAATGCTCAATGCCCAGTCTCAAAAAGTCATTCCCCAGTTTGGACGAAGAGGAAGATGGCGAGGAGGAATGTATAACCTCCCTCTGATTTTCAACCTTTGACCTACTGACCTACATTCATACTAACATATACATACATTCATACATACATAGATACATACATACCTACATGTATATGAAAAAAATACATACACACCTACACATATACATACTGACGTATAGATACAATTATAAATACTTACAAACAAACAGATGTAAATATCTTTAATGCGTTAAGCGAGAACATACTACACTACATTCACCACATTTTGATGCAAGATATGATTACACACACACACACACAAACACACACACACACACACACACACACTACACACACAAACAAACACACACACACACACACACTACACACACAAACAAACAGACAAACGAACTCACACACTCACACACACGCACGCGCAAAGACACACGCGCAAACATATTACGCAACCTATGATGGCAAAATATTTATTTTTTATTCAACATTCTGTGTGTATATTTTGGTTTCTGAGAACTATATAACGAAGAAGAATACATACATTGAACTATTTTTTTTTCATGCTATACGAAGTAATATTTTTACTTCAGAGGAATAAATTTTATAAAAAAAATAAATTTATTACAAGTTTCATTTTATTTTAACGATATTAATTAATAATAATTTAACCATAATATTGGCATAATGGCATAATAGTCAATAATAATAATTATAATATTATATTTATTATTATTATTATTTTATTATCATCATCATTAACGTTATTGTTAAACTTTTTCAGACAGAAACATTGTGATATTAATTTTGTCGTAACAATTTTAATAGCATATTTTCATTAATAATTATAACTTATAAATTATATTTTTATTATTAAATAATGATAATAATTACTAATAAAAACATAATATCGATGAATATATATATATATATATATATATATATATATATATATATATATATAAATACGTATATATATACCGTTTCGTTTCATTTTTTATATCTCTTTTCGTTTCTTAGTTCAATTTCATACTAACATTAAATCTTGGATAATTTCACTTTCATCACTAACATACCTAAATATTTATTATGTGTATCTCTACATGTAAAAAAATATTTAAAAAAAATTAGATTAACAACAATAATGATGATGGTTATAATTATAATTATTGTTATGGCAAATTGGTTTGATTGGAAAAATTGAGGCAGTTGAGAAATTGAGAAAATTCAGAAAAGAGTTATTGAGTAGTTGAATGAATGTCCTAGGCATGAAAAACAAGGAAAAGTTGAGGTTTTTAAATTTATCCGCATTAAAGTTTTGCAGAATAAGAAGAGATTTGATTACTTTGTATAATATTTTGAAGGAATAAATTGAATAGTAACTTATATCCAGATCTATAATTATGTACAGATTCTGGACACGATGAAAAGTTAGAACGAAATAAGGTTAGAACAAAACTTTTGTTAGCAGAACTCTACACATAGGGAATTCTTCACCACAGGAAATTGTGTTGCAAAATCCGAAAATCAATTTAAAGTTCTGTTTGACAAGTTCACTATTGAGTTAGAGATGAGGTACGAAGTAATCCAGTTTGATTGATACTTGGGTTGGCTGGCATGTGGGTATGAGTGTGGAAATGATTGAGACGTGTGAGTGTGTGTCTCTGTGTATCACTTTTATTATTACTTGAACAATTTATGCTTTCATTTAATTGGCAAATTTTTGGGGGTTTGGGCTTATGGGTTGTACAACTGCATTCATTAAATTTTTTCTGTTATGTTATGTTATGTTAAGTTATGTTATGTTATTTTCATCAGTTTATTGTTATATTTTGCCATTAGTGTTATCTGTGGTGAATGTTGTTGTTATTATCATTTCTATTGTTTTCATCATTATCAATATTATTAATGGTTATTCTTACAGAGCTTACTTTTCATAAAAATTTTCACCTAATGATGACCGCATTTTTTTTAGTTTTGCCATGTTTAACCGGTCAAATTATATTTTTTCAACCTGGGCTTAATTTATTAACTTACACTTAAATTAATCTATAACACCGATTTTTTTCATTTTCAAGATTAAAAACTCATTATAACTAGAAGTAATTAATAATATAATAATAATAATAATAATAATATATACAAAACGTATGCTTTGATTGTTTTGTTCTGATGTAGTGTTTTGTATATTCAAGTTGGAAAATTGTACACAAATATGTTCATATACTTATACCTGCATGTACATATATATATAGTATATATATATATATATGTATGTATATATATGTATATATATATATGTGTGTTATATGTATATATATATATATCCGGTGATTTTATATTTGAATGTTTAAAATTTCAAATAAATTTATACATAGAAACACCGAAAGAATTTTTACAAAATATAAGCACACGTACACACACACACACACACACACACGTACATACATACACAAGCGCGTGCACATACAAACACGCACATTTAAAAACACACGTACACACACATGCACATACACACACACACACACACACCAATGTACGTACACAGCTTTACGTTAAGCTGGATACTGACAACCCGTCATCATTGGAGTGCATTTCAGAAATCTGCAACAACGAACCGGATAACAGCAACAACGGCAACAACAACAGCAACAACGACAACAACAACAATAATAATAATAACAATAATAATAATAATAATACAAATAACATCAACATTAATAATAACATTAACGACTTCGGGAATAATAATAATAAGAAGAATACCAACAACAATAGCAGACCTATAAGAAATGGGTATAATTCTCCTTGCTCCAATAACGACATCAACTACAATAGAAATAATAATAATAATAATAATAGAAATAATAATAATCATAATAATAATCATAATAATAATCATAATAATTGTAATTATGACATTAATTATAAGGAGAGAGATTTCAGGGATCTTACTAATATTAATGATAATAGATATTTTTATAGCGGCGATAATGGTTATAATAATTATTACAACAAAAACAACATCTACTACAACAATAATAATAATAATTACATTAATAATAATAACAATAATAAAAACAGCGACAGATTAACTGTTAATAATGTAATAAAAGCGAATGACATTAATATAAATAATAATAAAAATAATAATGATAACAACAATTTCAATAATAATACATCACACGATCAGCAACAACGTCAACAACAGCAAAAACGCCGGTGCCCTCAAAATTCCGAGTGCCAACAACAACAACATTATCAACTACAACAGCTAAATTTTCAGCAGCTACATCTTTCAAAACGTAGGCAACATCAACTTCCAAAGCATGAAGCTCTAAATCAACATCTAGAACAACACCATCAGCAGCAACAACATCGCAGCCAACAACAAGACATTCAACAACAACAACGACAACGTCAACGTCAACATTATCACCATCAATACTTGCAGCAGCAGCAACAACAGTTTCTACAACTTCTCCCTCAGTGCCAACAAAAATCAACAATGTTGAGCAACCAAAAACACCAACCGCCCATAGTCTCTCAGAATTTAACTAACCACCACTACACTCCCAACTATTTGCAATTCCACAACAATCTCTGCAACACCCATCACACCTCGTCTTCCTCACTCGAGTCAGATGATTTAGACGATGATGATGACGACGACGATGACGATGACGATGGTGATGACGTAAAAAATATAAGCAATGACGTCATCGAAGCTGATAGCGACGACGACGACGACGACAGCGTCGAAATTGACGTAGAGGAAAATGATGATGAGGAAATGGAGATTGAAAGCAGCCCAGCACACCCATCCCTGCTCAGCACTCATCCGCCCAACAATCCGCAACAATCTTCTTTCTCGTCTTCTATCACTCACAACAACATCATCAACAACAGCAACAACGCATACAACAACAACAACAACGTATACAACAACAACAACGACAACATATACAACAACAACTTCAGCTACGGTATCAGCTACGGTATTAGCAACGGCATCAGCAACAACCCGGCCAAATTTGCATCTGCAATTACCCACCAAAGTGCCAACAGTCACATATACACAAACGCCAACATGAACAACGGCAACAACAACAACATCACTTACAACAACCTCATCATCAACAGCAGCAGCAGCCTAATCTCTACAAACTCAGTCCAACCTACGGTTAAACTAATAAACGATCAGGATGTGGACATATACTCCCGATGCCCTCGTCAGAAACATCGCCGCGTAAGCGTTCCCACCAGCATTCCCTATCTCTATCTCTCCAGTCATCACAACAACATCAAGCCGTCCAGGATATCATCTCCATCGTCATCATCATCTGTTGGGAAGCTGAAAACACGGAGGTTCTCCTTAGTGAGCAGTGCCTACAATCCGGATTCACCAATCCATTCAAGCGTCTTCTCGAGAAAGCTATCACGTTCTTTTCACAAGTGTTACAAAAACAACTGCGAATGTTCTGACGCTAAACATTGTGGTTATCCATTTAATTTAACCAATGTTTATCAGCCCCTTCAAAGCGGGTTGTTGAAACTGAATTGTGCTAACACAGCAACTAACAGTTGCAGAAATTCTCCAATGTTTGGGATTGGTTCTGGCTCGCTGAACGCCTCAGAAAATGCTCATACAAACAGTTTAAATCTGAGTTACGATAACAACCGCAACAACATCAGCAGTACCACTTGCCCTGTTAATGTCATGAATCTTAACCAAATTATTTGATATTTGCTAAAGGAGGACACTCAATTCGAAGACTTAGCATTTGAGGAAATTTAAAATGTCATCAGCTGGCCCATAGTTCAACGAGAATGTCATAATTGGGCCAAGACTATTGTCATCACCCAAGAAAAACTATACAACAAAATCATAAATACATGTAGCAAATGAACTGAGCGAGTCTAAAGTATATTATAAAGTAAATATATCGAGTCTAAAGTGAAAATAAAGTAAATATATCATAAGCCATTTAGTGTTAGTTTTATAATCTGACTATTTAACTTAATTTGAGGATGTATGGCATCTAGTATATTAGCGTTAAAGTGGTTAGCAAATGATAGTTAGTAGTAGTAAAGGGTAGTATTGAATATTGTAACAAGCAGTAATAATGTAATTTATTAGAAGTAATTAATTTGTAATTTTTATTTTACAGATATAATTAATCGATTTTAATCAATAATTAATCAATTAGAAATATTTTTTTAAAATGCACAACTGCTTGTTTGCTAATTAATTAGTCGATCAATTAGTATGATAATTTAATTAGTTTATTTATATTTATTTATTTATTAGTTTAATTATATGCTTAGTTCTGCATGCTATCAACATTTATTTATCATAAAATGTAATAAATGAAATGCCTTAATGTGCTTCAAGTTATTTTTAGAACATTTAAATAATACTAGGGTTTATTGTTTTGTTTATTATGTTTTGTTTATGATAGATTTATTAATAATAATAATATTATAATATTATTTTTATTATATATAATAATAACTATGGTTATTATTAGTTGTATTGTTTAAAATATTATTTTTTTAGCACATGCACGCACGTACAAGCTTTTAAATACGTAGTTATATTTAATAACTTATTATGAATCTTTACTATCTTTTATTTTCTCACATATATATATATATATTTTTTAATCAATAATAAAGTAATGATTTTTTTTCGTAACTAAAATTAATTAAGTTAATTAATTAATTAGTTAATTAATTAATCTTAATTAAGTTAGTTATTCAAATCAACGGCGACGTGATGCCCTAATTGTCAAAGGCGCCTGGTTCTGCTGTAGTACTGACGGAATTCAAATCCAACGAACTCCTCTTGTATCTTAGACAAGCACAATGTGTGTGACGTTTTGTTTTTTATATATGCAGTGTGTGAGTTTGTAGTTGACCTTTAACCTCTTATTAAAATTTGATTCCATTACAATTCCATTTTTTGCGTATGCGAAACCAACGTTACCAATGTAAATTTTTGCGTGGATTTTGTGGTTAATATAATGTAAATGTACGATATTAATTTTTCTAAATGGTGTTTGTTATAGATGAATAAAAATAATTTCATTGCGTTTTTTCAACTATTTTTTTTAAATGATTAATTAAGTAATCAATTAGAGAACAATTAAAAATTAAAATAGCTAATCTAGTTAATGAATTTTTCTCTAATTGATTCAATTAATTAATTAATTGAATCAATTAGGGCGCTGTCTGTATACTGTGACCTGATACCATGTGACCGCCATATATGTAATCACCATATATGATAGCTTGATTGATTAACGTATAATAGCATTATAGTAGTAATAGTGGTTGTTGTTGTTGCAGCTGCTGCTGTTGTAGCAGTAACGGTAGTAGCAGTAACAGCAGTAGTAGTAGTATTAGTAGTAGTAGCAGCAGGAGTAGTAGTAGTAGAAGTAATTTCTAATGGTTATATTTGTAACGTTTCATTGATAGCTACAGAGCGCTGCGATAAATTTCTCCAAACTTTGTAAACAAAAACCAATATCCCCTTAAATTTTTTAACGTTGTGATTAAACAACTAGTGATCGCCACTAGTGTTGCTACTACTACTGCTACTACTACTACTACTACTACTACTACTACTACTACTACTACTACTACTACTACTACTACTACTAAAACTACTACTACTAAAACTACTATTACAAACAACTAAAGTCGTTATTATTATAATTGCTCGTATTATTATTTCTATCATCATATCTATAATAATAATAATAATTATTACTAATATTTTTAATAATACTAATAATATTACTAATATTATTATTACTAATAAGCAATCCAAATACAGTGATTCATTCCTTACTTAGTATGACTATGCTAAATAGTAACAATATTAATACTTACTATAATAAAAATATATTTATTACCAATAATTATTATTACAAATATAAATGAATAAATATAAATTATGAACTGTCGATAAATGATGTTAGGCTTTCGGGTAGGTAAAAATTTGAGTGACACACCTTCGTATCCTGCTTAATATCAATTGCCATCGTAAATTAATAAAAACTTTTGAATGATTTCATCTGAGGTTCAGTGCACACGCATCAAAAAAATTGAAGAATTGGTATGTGTTTATTTAGCTTCGACGCTGCTGTGTGTGTATGTAGAAGTAGTTGAATTCTATTTTTCAACCATTATTCGATACATTTTAAAACCATAGCAGTTCATTGAAGCTCTGAAATTTGATATATCAAAAGATATTACCTGCCTTAAATGGAGGTAGTGGTTTAAATTTGTGATCGTTTTTGACTGGCGGAAGTTGGGTCCCAATCGTTGGAGTGTCAAAAATTTTCAAAAAAAAAAAACCCTGACATCCTCTATGAATAGCTTATTAGTGTGGTAATTAATGCTAGGGTTCGCTCGTTTAAGAGTTATAAGAATTACATTCAAAAGAAAGAATTTACGAGAATATTATTATCTTAATTAATTTAACCTAATTTAATAAATTAAGTATGCAATTATTTTGCAATTAATGGGATAATTAATAAATAAAATTTACGATGAATAAATATAGGAAGGAATTATTAACCTAGAGTATTATTTTTATGATTCATAACTAGTCAAAACACGTATACACACACCACACACACTCACTCACACACACACACACACACGCACACACATACGACAAAATTATTATATAGCCTAGCTTATTACAAACCTTGCAATGTCTTGCTAGGATGACATAAAATAAGCCTGGCTAACTTACAAATAATAGTATAAAATATATATGTCTGTATAAGTGTGTGTGTATCTGTGTGTTTGTGTGTCTGTATGTGTTTGTATGTGTATTTATGTGTGTGTCTATAAACATTGAAAATACAGAACATACTTTATATATACGCGAGTGCTATAACGGATGAATCATTTAGGAAGTTATATTATATCATATATAGGCTACACGTATATTACTTATATAAATTACTTATAAATACTTAAGTCAAATACTTATATAAATTACTTATACAAATACTTCAATACGTTAATACTTCAAATAGTATATAGATATACATTTATTAATAAACATGTGTATTTATAAATTTAATTCATATGTATATATAAATTTAAATCATATGTATATATAAATTTAAATCATACACACATGTATATAACTTGTTGGTGTATATATCTTGAATTATTATCTATAATTACACGTTAAATTTTCATTAGTTACTTAAATATATAAACTGAATAACAGAAGTCTACCTGTACCATCGTGGTCCAAATACTGCATTTCCTACTTATATTAATAATGCAAATTGTAACTACGTCTTAGTATTAAAAGTTTGACCGGGTCATAAATTTACTGGGAAATTGGTTTTAATAATTATTTTGACAAACTCTGCTTTTAGATTCACTACTATATTTTAGTATTTCTAAAGTAATCGAATTGATTTTTTTTTTTAAAAAGTAGATAATATACTTTTAAAATACAAATTTATTAAATAATTATACAATTCTTTATTTTCAAAATACAAAAATAGCAGTAACGTCAATAATAATTATCAATAATAATAATAATAAATACAAATAATAATAAATAATAATAAATAATAATAAAAATGGCATCACGTGGGCGGCAAAATAATGACACTAAACAAATGACCAGAACCCAGAGGCAGACTCTAATGTTAACTGGTGACCAGCTGGAAGAAATTATGAAATTATTCAGCACCGTGAGTTATAATTATTTTAAAATTATTATTATTCTTACCACTACTACTACGATTACTACAACTACTACTATAACTACTACAGATATTTAGTACCGTCAGTTTTTCAAAATTATTTTTTCATAAATTTATTTCTATTAAATAAATAAACAATTTATCTACTAGTAATACTACAATTATGGCTGCTGTCGTTACTGCTGCCGCTGCTACTACTACAGCTACACTACTACTACTACTTCTAGACTGGCATTACTACTACTACTACTACTTTTGTCATCATTAACATCATCACAACTACCATGGTCTGCATCATCATAAAGACACCCACAATAATTACAAACACACACACACACACAACACACACACCCACACACATATATATATATATATTATACTTTTTATATTTCTATATATTAATTAATTGATTGAATAATTAACGTCCGTTAACGTTTAATTGGCGGCTGGGTTTTCTTTGATAAGCGAGCCTGCCATAAAACCCAGATGCGGATATAATAATAATAGCGATAATAATAAATAATAATGATTATTATTATTTTATTTTATTATTATTTTATTATTCTTAATTTTATTTTTATACATGTACTTCATTGCACACAGATTGACAGTGATAAATCCGGTTACATCGATGCTAGGGAACTAGGTTGATTATTTTTAATATTATTTTTATTATCTCGTTTATTATTATTATTGTTATTATTATTATTATTATTATTTTTAATATTATTTTTATTATCTCATTATCTAGTTTTTTTGGATAATAAAAGAGTCCTCATCATCATCATCATCATCGTCATCATTCATCATCATCATCATCGTCATCATCATCATCATCGTCATCATTGTCATCATTATCACCATCATCATCACCATCATCATCATCATTATAATTATTATCATCATTGTCATCATCATCATCATCATTATAATTATTATAATTATTATAATTATTATTATTGTTAGGTAAAGCCCTGGAAGCAGTCGGCATCCGACTTCCGGGATACGAAGTGAGGCAGTTGGTATCGTCCAGTGATTCGGGCGTGAGAGATGGCAAGATTGACATTGAAGAGTTTAAGAATGTTAGTTACACATACAGACACACACACACACACATACAAACACATACACACACACCACACACACACATATATACACACACAGTGGCGGATCTAATGAGGGTGCCGGGAGACACTGCCCCCAACCCCTTGTAAGCAGTTTTTTAATAAAGTCTGAAAAAAAGACCGTTTTATGTATAAAATTGAACGTGATATACAAAAAAAGATGAAGGTCATCATCAGCCACATTACCACAAATCTTGGCCCTTCCCAGTGAAAATCTTGGCCCCTCCGAAAAAATTTTAATCCCACTTACCTCCGTGAAAATTTATTCACATTCCCATTATCACCATCATCATCATCACCAACATCATCATCACACCATCACCAACACCAGCACCATCATCACCATCATCATCACATCATCACCAACACCAACATCATCATCACCATCACCAACATCATCATCACAATCACCATCAACAGCATCAACACATCATCATCATCACAAACATAATCATCACATCATCACCGTCTCCACCAACATCATCACCCAGCTTTACACGGAGCTGAAGATGAAGTTTGACATGAAGGACAAGTGGAAGCAGTTCATAGTGACCAGGGACAACGTGAAGACCATCCCTCAGGCCTCCACCACCAGCACGGCCACCCACTCCGTCACGGATGAGGAATGCGTCGCCTACTCTAATTTCATAAATGGGTCGGTTCATTTTAGTGCTACTACTACTACTACCACTACTACTACTACTACTACTACTACTACTACTACTACTACTACTACTACTACATTGCTGCTGCTACTGCTACTACTATTACTACTACTACTACTACTACATTGATACTGCTGCTACTACTACTTTTACTATTATTACTAATAATAATGCTAGTACTACAATAATAACAATGTCATTTATAGGGCGTCATGGGTGCTAATATAAATTAATAACATTAAATAAATGCACCAAGTAACTACAGTCTCGATGAAAAAACAAAAAAATCACATTTTACTTTTATTTCTAGAAAATAAAACAGAAAAATTATCCTTACTGTTATTTCTAGAAAAAAAACAGAAAATTATCCTTACTGTTATTTGTAGAAAAAGAAACTGAAAAATTATCCTTACTGTTGTTTGTAGAAACTTTTCCGACGATCCGGACTGCAGGAAGTACCTGCCAATCAATCCCAATACGGACGACCTCTACCAAAAGATCAACGATGGCATTCTGCTCTGGTCAGTCGTCATACTTTAACGAAAATTTTATTTAACTGTTCTCATAATTTTAAGTATACTCATATTTTAATAAAATTATCATCAACTACTTTTATATTTTTTAATCATAATCGTAATTTAACAAATTAATATATCGACCACTATTACAATTTTTATTACATAATACTTATAATTGAAACCTCCCAACCCAATCATTTCCCTGCCAGCAAAATGATTAACTTCTCCCAGCCTGATACAATCATAGAGACGGCCATAAACAAGCACCAGGAGCTGACAGTCTATCAGAAACTCGAAAACCAGATGCTGGTATTGAGGTCAGCCCAGGCCATAGGCTGTAGCATCATCAACATTGGTCCTGAAGATCTATGCGCTGGTAGACACCATCTGGTTCTTGGACTTATCTGGCAGATAATTAGAGTTAGGGTTTTCGCCAAATTTTTTTTTAAATTTTAGTGTTTTTAGTGATTTTGTGTAATTGTTAGAGGTGTATTATTTCATTTTTTTTAGATTATAAGGGTGAGTTTTACAAAATAATTAACTCTTTGAAGTTACTTCTTTTTAATCTTTGGCGGTGGGCTAGTGTAATTGGTAAGAAGCGGGTGGTTCTGGGTTTGCAGCGGCAGGTTTCGATTTCAGAGAGATTGTTCTTTTCATGGGCGATGTTGCGTACCTGCTGTTTGGCCGACTGATTTGCATACGTTATGTTTGACATTTTTGTATCATTTATTTTTTTATTTTGTTTTTTTTTTTTTTTGAAGAAGGAAATCTATTGTGATTTGCCAATTGGTTTAACTGCACATTGAATGTTTAGTAAGTTGCGTATTGGTTGTTTCAAGTTAGTAGTTGCCAAGTTTGTTTCAAAGGCTGATTTTATTTCAACTGCAAAAGTCTGTCTCAAGTTTCTAGATATAATTAGTGGCTATACAAAAAGTGGCTACTACTTTTTTCAAAATAAATTTATATAGCATCTGAAGAGTGTCTAAATTTTTGTTTGGAGGGTGCAATCGTTAGCAGGCTAGTGTTTGATAAGTAAAGAATTTATAAAAAAAACTTGTATTATCTTTAAAGTTTAATTTAGCTACACATGTTTTTTACAATAAAAAAATCAAATAATATTTCTGCTGAACAAACAAACGAACGAACAAACGGACGAACGCGTACAGACAACAAACAAACGCACATGCAAACAATAACAAACCACAACACAGATCGGCCTGTTAGCGGATATCAACCTGCAGACCAACCCGCACTTAGTCGCCCTTCTTCTAGAAGGTGAGTCCCTGGAAGATTTCATGAAGTTGTCCCCTGAAGAAATCCTGATCAGATGGGTGAACTACCATCTTGCGAGATCCGGTTGTGGTAGAAAGATCCACAACTTCACCACGGATATCAAGGACTCCATAGCTTACATCCACCTCTTGAACCAAATTGCGCCTGAAGATGCTGGCGTTACTATTGCTCCTGAGAGGGTAAGAGTTTCACATGAATTCATTGTTTGCTCTGTTTGGAGTTTAAATTTTACAAGTAATTCAAAATAAAATCGTCTTTAATTGAAATGAGTTAAAAATCCTAACAACTACCCAGCTAGAAGACCGCTTTCATTTTTTAAAGTTAACAAATTGAAACAAATATATTTTTAACAACGTTCTATCTACAAATTAACCAACCAAACACACATATAACAACAACAAGCACATGTTACGTATGTTTACTTACTTACTTACTTACTTACTTACTGCATACAATCCACAACCTCACTCAGGAATCCAACTTAGAAGCCAGAGCTGAAAAAATGCTGAACGAAGCGGACAAAATAAATTGCAGGGCTTTCATCTCCGCCAAGGATGTCGTCAGAGGATTCTACAGATTGAACCTGGCATTCGTGGCCAACCTCTTCAATAAGCACCCCAAACTGGAGCCTGTCGAGATGGTCATCCCGGAAATAGTCGAGACCAGGGAGGAAAAAAGTTAGTAAGATGTTTGGAGTTTGTTTAAAAAAATTTGAGCGATGTGTCGGTGTGATGGTTAAGCTGGCTAACACAGACAATGTATAAAACACACAACAGACACACACGTAACCACACACACACACACACACACACACACACACAAACACACAAACAAACAAACACACACACAGCATACAGAAATTGGATGAACAGTCTTGGAGTCAATCCATTCGTCTATCACTTCTACTCCGACCTATCCGACGGGCTGATCCTGCTGCAACTTTTCGACATCATCAAACACGAGTGCGTTAACTGGGATAAAGTTGTGAAAGAATTCAAATCTAACCGGGCCATGATGGAGAAAATTGGTTAGTTGGTTGCCTGGTTTGCTGGCTGGTTGATTGGTTGGTTGGTCGGTTGGTTGCTTGCTTGATGGTTTGTAGTATAATAAAATGATTAATTGGTTTAAATGAAATGAAACACACTACTTCTAACTTGCAACCGAATTTAAATAGTTTTCAAAATTTCACATATAGAAAATAATATTTAGCACAGTTATTAACATTAACATAATAACAGACAAAAACAAACAAAAAAAAACAGGTAATTGCAATTATGCCGTAGAACTTGGCAAGGAATGCAAGTTCACCTTAGTGGGAATAAGTGGTAAGAATATACACGATGGAGATAAAACTCACGTGTTAGGTTTGTCATTCATTCATTCGTTCATTCGTTCGTTCATTCATTTATTCATTTGTTTGCTCGTTAATTTATCTATCCGTCCATTTAATCAATCGCTTGTTTGTTCGCTTGGATACTCGTTTATTATGAACAAACAATAAATTTGTTACATAATGGGGCATTCCAAAAAGAGTAAATCTTAACTAAGCGAAATCCAAAACATTCAAAAAAGGAATCCATTTTGCTTGCTTGTTCTCTAGTTCGTTCGCTCGTTCATGGCACACTGCTTATTGTTGATACTATTGTTGATACTTATAAAAATAAATTTAAAAAAAAATTAAAAAAGAAATTAAATAGAAATAACAATATTTATTATAATTATTATTATTATGAAGCGTTGGTCTGGCAGATGATGAGGGTGTACACGTTGAGCATCCTGTCGCACATCAAGCAGAGCAAGGAGGGGGCCAACATCGATAAAGAGATTGTGGCTTGGGCCAACGAAAAGGTACGGATGATGATTCATTCATTCATTCACACATTCATTCATTCATTCACACATTCATTCATTCATACATCCATTCATTCAACCGCTTGTTTGTTTTTGTTCATTGATTGATTCATTCATCAGTTCGATAGTGAAGGTTATGGTGACGACAAAGATTTAAAAAAATGATGATGATGAAAATTATTTAAGCGATGATGCAAATGATAATAATGAAAATTATTAATCCTTAAAAATACAGCTGAAAGAAGCTGGAAAGAGCAGATCCATAACGGGTTTCAATGACAAAAACCTGACCACCGGAAAAGCGGTTATCGATTTGGTGGACGCCATATCTCCAGGCTCTATCAATTATAGCCATGTTAAAGATGCTGACACGGATGAGGTATTTTAGAGTATTCGTTTGTTTGTTTGTGTGTATGCTTGTATGTGTATGTATACGTGTGTGTGTGTGTATGTGTGTGTGTGGCCATAATGTAACAAAATAAACGACAATCACTGATTCAAGGAAAAACTAGAGAACGCAAAATATGGAATCTGTGTTGCCAGGAGAAACGGGGCCAGAATTTACGCCTTGCCAGAGGATATCGTTGAGGTGAAGCCAAAAATGGTAATGACCATTTTCGCCTGTCTCATGATTTTGGATCTGGAGAAGAGAGGAAAGCAGTAG